CCACGGGTGCCAGGGGACCCCCGCCGCTGCCACGCTGTCTCGGGGGCGCTTGCACCCCGCGCCTCTGCTCCCCAGCCCTGTCTGCAGGAGCAAATCAGACAAACGTTCCTCAAAGGCCAGGGTGAGCGCACAGCTGTCCGCGGCTCCCGCGAGGGGCCGGGGGGCCGGAGGGCCGGTGGGGTGGGCAGCAGCAGGGCCTTGGGGCCTGGAAGCTCGGGGGTTGGCCTTGGGGTAGGGGTGCGCCTGGGGCCAGTGGGCCCCAAGCGGGGGCGGTGCCCCTGGAAGGCAAGGTGAGGGCAGGCCGGAGGGCAGCCCAGGCCAGCGGCAGCGGCCCCTCCTGGGCCTGGGGCCTGGCCGGCGGGGCCGCCGGGCCCGCGGGTACAGCGCCAGGCCCGTCGCCACGTCCCTCCACGCAGACCTGGCCAGCGCTGTCGCCCGCTGTGCCCGAGGCAGCTGCCCCGGCCTGGGGCACCTCTGTGCTGGCCTGGGCTGAGCCTGGCTGCCGGCAGCAGAGGGGGGCGGTGGACAGATGGAAGCTGGAGAGCGGAGGGCACCGGCAGGGGGCAGAGCCCCCGCCTGGCAGTGCCACCAGAGGGCCGATGCCAGGCCAGGTGCGGGCCCGGGCCGGGGGCGCTTTGCAGGGTGGGACGGGCAGGCTGGTAGCTGCGGCCTGGCAAGGCCCGCTCCCCCGCAGTGACCGGGAGCCGCGGGGACCCTCCCCCAGGGCCCAGCACACGTCCCAAAGCCGAGAGCCGGGTCGGGCGAGACTGGCCCGCTTTGAGGGGTGGGTGCCCACGGGGCTGGGGAGCCGGGGGCCGAGGCCCTGTCCAGGGCACCCTCCAGCCCAGCCCTCGGGATCGGATTCCTCCCAACTGGGCTGCGGGCCTCCAGGCCATATAAGGCTGGATGTGGGCACCTTCTGGCGCCTCCTCCCCACCCCCATGGGAACCAGAGCTTGGCCAGGCCCCCAAGGACAGAGGGGGAAGGGGCCTGCTGGCCCAGGCCTCTGTGGAGCGGGAGGAGGGGCAGGCCCCAGGGCTACGACTGGGGTCCCTGGAGTCGCCTGCCCAGGCTGCCCGGTCTGAGTGTGGAGGACAGGCCAGGAGAGGGCAGATGCTGGCCAGAGGCCAGCGTGGCTGGGGAGTGACCTGCAGAGCTGGCTGCTGCCTCAGGGGCAGGCGCTGCCTCCTGGGTCCCCAGTGTGCCCCCAGCCCTGGGGCCCAGAGACCTGAGCCCCAGCCTCTCCCACAGGCACTGGGCGCCTTGGGCCGGCAGACAGGCAGGAGGTAGCCAGAGGGTCCAGACCGTCCCCAGGGCTGGGGCCCCTGAGGCTGCGGCAGGTGCAGCCTGAGGCCTCGGCGCAGGGCTGGGGGCCAGCGGCCTCTGTCGGGGAGGCCCCCACCGGTCCCTGCAGCCCCCCCGCCACTGCTACCCCCAGGGGCTCCCCCCGTCCCCGACAGGGTCAACTCGGGGGTCCTCTCTGCAGCTCAGAGCCTCTCCAGGAAGGGGTATCTGGGCACAGAAGCTGGGCTGCCCCCAGGCCAGCAGGGCCGTGCTTCTGGGGGGCGTGCCCACACCCCTGCCCGTCCTCACCGGGCCCCTCCGCTCCAGGCCCCAGTCTCACGGCCCTGGCAGCTCCCACCCTGCCCTCGCCCCACCGAGCTGGCCGGCTGAGGCTGCCGAGTGCTGGCCGGAGCCGCCATGGCCGCCAGAGGCCCCGAGACGGGCCGAGCACGCCGCCCCAGCCCTCTCCCGCGGGCCCATATTCCTGGGCGCAGCCTCGCCCGCCGCCCCAGGGGCCTCGGGGCAGGGCCGGGCCGGCCAGAGGGCCGCAGGCAGCTGCGAGCGGTCAGTCGTGCTGATGCTGACGTGGCCCGAGCACAGCGGTGGCGGCGGGCGGCTGCTTTCCAGAGTCCCCAGACGCCCTGGCTGAGTCAGGGCCGATAGCCGGCGGGCGCGTGGGGACCCGGTGCCCACCGCTGTGGGCTGCTGGGGCCCGCTGGACTCCTGGGGCCGCTGCTGGTGCGGGGCAGCTGGTGGGGTCTGGGCTTGGGGTGTGCCCGCCCCGGCCAGGCCGCAGGAGCCCGCCTGCCGCCCCACCCCGTGACCCTGGCCGGAGCGTCCTGCGCCTGGGGTCCTCTGGTGGGGCGCCAGTGCACCGGCTGGCCAGTGCTCAGCAGGACACAGGGCGGGAGCAGGGGGCACCTCCCTTGGCCACTTTCCACCTTCTCCTCTGCCCACTGCGCCTCAGGCCACCAGCTGCCCTGGGCAGCTGTCTGCAGGACGGGCCTCGGTGCCCTGGGCTGCGCTGACTCGGCACATTCCGGAGCCTGGGCACCGCTCTGGCCCCCGGGGGGGGGGCACAACTGGGGCGAAGCCTTCCTCAGGCAGGGGGCACGGCCAGAGGCCACTGCGGTGACCACTGTAATGGGGATGCTCTGACCTGGACGCGGGCTGAACCCCGGTCTGGGGCCCCTCTACTGCCCACAGACCACTTTGCTTGTTGGTCCAGTGGGCAGGCGGCGGCACCGGTCCAGGGCCCACTCCGCAGCCGCCAGGTGACAGTGAGGAGGAGGGGGAGCCCGAGAGGCGGGGAGCCTGGGACTGCGCCCCACAGCCCAGCGCTGCTCTGTCCGCCAGACACTGGGGAGACCTCCGCGCCGCCCTTCCCCGGGCAGATTCCTCGCGCCTGGGGGAGGGGCGGGGCTGCGGCCACCCAGACGCACAGCAGCTGGGCCGCAGCCGGCGGCCTTTCCCAGCCCGAGCCTGCCTGCGGCAGGGCCCTGTCCGGTCTGGCGGGGGCTCCGCAGGCGCCCCTCGCCCCCCTGACGCCGCCCCGGGGCTCCTGACCCGCGTCCCTATCTTGGAGTGTGTTTAAGGTGAACCCCAACCCGGGCAGGCAGACGCGCCCGAGCCTGTCTGGTTGCCCCAGGAAGTCTGGGCTCCCGCGGCCCCCACCCCGCTGCAGATGGGATCCGGCGCCCCAGCTCTGGGCCGAACCCGCGGCTGGCCCCGGCGGTGCCTCAGACGGGCAGCGAAGGGGAGAGGCCCACACGGCGGGCGGCGAGGGCGCCATCTCTCCGGGGTCCCCCTCTCCAGCCGGGGCTGAGGCCACCCACAGCCGGCGCCGGCTCTGGGAGC